CCAAGGAAAACAATTTTCTTCTCCTTTTATAATCTGATATGCCAAAAAGTTATGTAATTATGGGATTTCAGCAAAAGCTGTAGTATTTTTCAATTGTGTTATTAAAAACATAAACATTTGTTTAAAGTTTATAATACTTAGGACTAATTGGTACTTCCTGTTAAGGCTGTAGTCCCAAAATTTTGTCGTTTTACTGCCTCTTTTTTGAGAATGAACGGACTGGCTCATTGGAGTATCCTTGTGGTACATCAGCAGTATTAATTTTTTCTATATTTCCAGTTGTGTATATATAATTTACAATGAACAAAAGGATTGTTTAATGGTCCTTTGCTTATTTAATTACACATACTTTATCTCCCTATTTTTCTGGCCTCCCTATTTTTACTGGTAGTCAGGTGTGAATTATGATTATGATACACGATAAAGTGAATGAGGATGGAATAACAGTAAATATTGATATACTGTTTATGATATACCACTGTTGTAAGCATTTTTGTCAGGTCATAATCTGTTCTCAGTTCTTGGTGTGCTCTTGGCCAAAGAATGACCAGACACACCAAAAGCAAGGCAAGTGTGAAACGAAGTTTGTTGGGGAAGGACAAGATAGGTTTACAGAGCAAGAGCAAGATATAGGTTCACGGAGCGAGCGCAAGATACATACTCCATAGAGGAGAAGGACCCCTCTGTTGTAACAAAAGGGCTTTGGTTATGGTCTGCGTCTTGTTTTATAGTGTCTAGGCTGGGCCCTCCTCGTGGTTCAAACGTCACCATTGAACCATTTTGATGGACAGTTGGGAGTTACATAACCTGAGTCTGACTACACTGTGGATTTCCCATGAGCCTCTCTGAAAGCCCATTTGTGGGGATGAATGTAGATTTAAACTAATAACATGATAATTAGCCATAGGTTGTTCTAGGTCATCTTCCAGACCTATTCTACCTGTGCTGCTTGGCCCACTGGCTAGAGAATCCTCTGCATTCTTCTGCAGTTGACATGGCAAGTTCTGATTGGTAGAATGGTAGAGTGTTCCCTTCTCCCCCAGGTGTGGCAATTGCTCGGGGCGCCTACCTTTGTTCCCAGGAGAGTCTACCTAACACTTTAATCAACTAACTCATGTAATATTTTTGAAAATCCTTTGAAGTAAGTATTGTTATGTTCTCCATTATAAAAATAAAATAAAAAAAAAAAAAAACAACTGAGGCACACAGAGATTAATTATCTTGTTCAAAACCACAAAGCTAGTAAGTGGTGGAACTAGAGTTGGACCCAGGCAGTCAGCCAGGTCCAGTATCTATGCTTTTTAATCACTACATAATGTTCTTCATTTCCGTAAGCATTTCCCCTATTCACATACCTGCTGTGACTCAGTGAAATTTGTAATGTTGACAAGGTAGAATGTATTATTTATCTGTGTCTTTTTCTTACAGCTTTTCAGTAAAAAGTAGGAAAAACATTCAAGCCACTAGAGATTGCCAAGACAGAGGATTGAATGTGACTTTCATCATTAGGACAACTAATTCACCTACATTCGCACGTCCGTTATGCCTTCTGCATAAAAATGCCAGATTTGTATTCTCAGTACTCTCATAGATAGGTAGTATGCAAGGAGAAAATTAACATCATCTAAATTATGGATCTTTTTTGCGAATTTTTTGGAAATATTTTATTTGTATTTCAATAGGTAATAAAAATCAGAAACATGTTTTGAGACCTGAATCTCTTGAAGGGACAGATGAAGAAGATCCAGTTACAGCCCTAGAATGGGACCCACTATCCACTGATTATCTTCTTGTGGCTAATTTGCATTATGGAATTCGCCTAGTAGATTCTGAATCGCTTTACTGCATAACAACATTTAATCTTCCCAGTGCAGCAGCTTCTGTACAGTGCTTAGCCTGGGTTCCCAGTGCTCCTGGAATGTTTATTACTGGAGGTGAGCTCACCCCCTTTCCCCAGAGTTTTAAATATGTGTGTATTCTTTCATTGAATTGTGGAAATTATAATCTTTTATTGGTCAATTTTGGGTAAAACTTAGTTATGATAGTAAATGCCTAATGTAGTTTTATTTATACTGTATGTCATTAACATAAATACAAATAGAAATGAAATTAAGGCCCATTATTCCAGATTTCTACAAATACTTTGAAATATATATGTGCACACATGTGAGCATGTCTGTGTTTGTTTGTGTGCTAAAGACAAAGATAGTTCAATTTCAGGCATGGCAGGATGACAATGAAGGTACTGACCAGAAAAACAATTAACCTGAATGGAACCTTTGTTATCCTCACTGTCTTAGTCTGTTTTGTGTTGCTATAACAGAATACCACAGGCTGGGTAATTTATAAACAATAGAAGTTTATTTGGCTGACAGTTCTTGAGGCTGGCATGTCTAAGAGCATGGCACCAGCGTCTGGTGAGGGCCTTCGTGCTGCTGAAGGCAAGAATGGGTGAGAGGGAAAAAGGAAGAGGGGATCTAACTGGCTTTTATATTAATAACAAAGCCACTCTCATGATAAGTAACTCACTCCTGAGAGATAAGGACTTTAATCCATTTACAAGAGTAGAGTCTTCATGGCCTGATCACCTTTTATTACACCCCACCTCCTAATACTGTTGCATTAGGCATTAAATTTCCAACACATGAACTTTGGGGGACACATTCAAACCATAGCACTGACTGATAATTTTGGCAACCCATGACAGATCTGCCTAGTTAGATCCAAATATTGCAACCTAGCTTGAAAATGAAAATGGAATTTGGTACCATGCTCCTTTATGTTTTCCTAATCATGGGAGAATTAGCAAAACTAAGTAGTGATGGGAGATGGAAATATGGGAGAATTTGGGAATAGTAATTAGAAATTAAATGATTCTCTACTTTTACCATTTCCTTAGGTTCAGAGAGAAAGTCCTCTGAAAAACAGTACTTTCAGCTACTGTATAAATACTTCTAATGTTTGCTTAGTGTAAAATAATAGACAAATGTCATTTATCCTGTCAACATTTTAAAAGAAATTCTTTACTTCTTTAGTACTTAACATTATACAGTTGGCCTTTTGTATTTGTGCTTCTGCATCTGTGAATTCAACCAACTGCACGTCATAAACATTCAGAAAAAATATTCCACAAAGTTTCAGAAAGCAAAACTTGACTTTGCAGTGGACCAAGTTGAAGTCACATGAATGAAGTCATGTGCAGGCATCCTATTAGGTATTATAAATAATATAGAAATGATTTAATATATAGAGGAGGATGTGTGTAGGTTATATGCAAATATTGCACCATTTTATGTAAGTGACTTGAGTATCCATGGATTTTGGTATATGTGGACTAAAATCTATGGTCCTGGAACCAATCCCCCATGGATAAAGAAGGACAACTGTACGTGAAAGTAAGTGGATTATTAATTTATGTATCTTAATTGCCTTTAATTTTACAGCATATAATTAATAACAGGCATGGAAAATTTTAAATATCTATTATTATTATTATTGAGATGCACATCATATATCATAAAATTCACCATTTTTAAAGTATACAGTACAGTGTTTTCTGGTATATTCACAAAGTTATACAATCATCATCATCATCTAATTCCAAACATTTCATCATTCCCCCAACAAACCCTGTACCCATACCCATTAGCAGTCACCTTCCATTACTCCCTCCCGCAGTCCCTGGCACACACATGTGCATACATAAACTGCTAATCTATTTTCTGTCTCTGTGGATTTGCCTATTCTGGAATTATTCCATTTTATATAAATGGAATAATTCAATGTGTGGTCTTTTGTGTCTGGCTTCCTTCATTTAACGTAAAGTTTTCGGGGTTCATCCATGTTGTAAAGTATATCATATTTTATTTCTTTTTATGGCTAAATAATATTCCATTATATGGCTATGCCAGGTTTTGTATATCCATTCATGAATTGATAGACATTTATATTGTTTCCACTTTTTTGCTGTTACGAATAATGCTGCTATGTACAAGTTTTTGTGTGGACTTATGCTTATAATTCTGTTGAGTATCTACCTAGGAGTAGACACATTGACTCATATGGTAATGCTATGTTTAATCATTTGAGGAACTGCTAGACTATTCTCCAAAGCAATTATTAAGGTGGGATTTTTGGAAGAAAGAAGACTTTCTAATTAGTCTTCAGGTATATTTGACAATCCTTATTTAGCTGAAAGTGGACAATGGAGCAGCTTACAAACATTTCAAAAGAGGAAGGATTATTCAACATTAGAGGTAGAGAGTTTTCTGTGGCTGGCCATTTCCTAGAACAAATGTGTGTCAATGGGGTGCTTTTTGTGTGGTCGGATTGTTACAATGGTCTTTATTGGGGAAAGCTGCCAAAATAGGCAGTTTCTAACTCTGTAAAAAGGTTTGGAACAGAAAAAAAAAAAATAAAACGTGCCAAAAATTTAAAGGTTAATAGCTTTTCAACTGTTTCTTTGATTATATTACTGTATGGCATTATTGACTGAAGGATGTCAATAATTAGTGCTAAAAATCCTACATGTTGAAATTTTTGTCATTACTTTTGTATCTGGGCATTTTAGTTTCAAACAAAATTTTATGTGTATGCTTTGTTTCCTGATCTGCCTAGATTCTCAAGTGGGCGTTTTGCGCATTTGGAATGTTTCAAAAACAACACCTATTGATAATCTTAAATTAAAGAAAACAGGATTTCACTGCTTACATGTACTTAATTCTCCTCCAAAGAAAAAATGTAAGTAAAAAATATCATCAGAGTTTTAATTTTTTGTCAAATTATCTATCAAATAAAATGACTGATACAGTGATATAAACATACCAACTACTACATGCTACTGCAAAACAATCTTTGAAAAATAGCCTTTAACAATATATGTGCTGAAGGAACCATCAAAGTACATGCAATAACTAATATTACTAAATTGAACACATTTAGAGCCAAACTACATTTGTAAAATGCTATTAAATGAGGATATTCAGATAATCTCAAATTATCTATATGGGGAAGATGAAACAATAATATTGGTGAAAATAAGTTAGAAATATCAAGAGTGATGGGATTAAGTAAGATTTATCTGAACTAGAATTTGGTTTAAACATGGCTCATTTACAGTCTGTACAGTTTATAAAAAAGTTAAAATAATCTAAATATTCAAATTACAGGATCTAGAACATGTAAGATATTCCATGTTCGAACATGAATTGTCACTGAATTAGTAGTTAAGTGTTATGGATCATCTGTATCTTTTTTGTTTATTTTTGTGTATTTTTTCTGACATAAGCTTCATTGCTTCTGTAATTAAGAAAAATAATAAAGCACACTTAGGCCATAAAAGAAAAAATCTGGAAATTTGGGGGAGGTTTGGAATTAGAATGTTTCTTAAATAGAAGGGAAAAGAAATTCACTTCCTGTTAAATCTACCATGATTACTCTGCATGGCTGGTAGTGTTCCCATTTTGTGTAACATAAAAAATGTGGGATAAGGACTTTAGTGACTGAAAAATCTAGAGTAATTGATGCCTCCTTACTGCTCTCGATCTTTATAATATATTAAGTAATTAGCAATGGCTATTCAAAGTCATGTTATTTTGGTATC